CACACTGGCTGAACACATTATGTTTTATGGTCAGGGTTTAATATTTCTTTCCGATTGGACTCTTAGTGATTTATCAGAGCTTCTTGGCAGACATGCAACCTTTAAAACCCTCTTCCAACCAGCATGCCCAACCAAAGTAGTTGAAAGTAACAAAAGATGTCTCGAATCCATAATTAAATTTGAAGGATAACAGGACGTTCATTTCAAGTAATTATTATTAATCCTATGCTCCTTTATAAAACTTTCAGATTTAATTTTAACTTCTTGAGGGTCAGGCCTGGGTCTTAGCATTCTTCCTAGCTCAGAGATTAGTACAGAACCTGGGACATAGCAGCTGCCCAGGAATGTTTCCTAAATAAATGGATAAGTAAATGGGTTTGAGACACTGGCGAATGATGGATAAAACAATCCACGTCAGAGCGCCTGGGTGGCTTACCTGGTTAAGCGTCTACCTTCAGCTCAGGTCATGATCTCAGGGTCTTGGGATCGAGCCCAGTGTTGGGCTCCCTGCTCCGCAGGGAGCGTGTTCTCTCCCTGCCCCTGCTCCAGCTTGTGCTCATTCTCTCTTTCAAGTCAATAAAGTCTTTAAAAGACAATGCATGTAGCCTTCTACCATGGTGATCCATCCCTATGTATAATTATGTTTGAAAACAATCATTTCTCTACAGAAAAAATAAACCAGAGTATCAGACATAAACAATGGCTTTAAAGTAAGAAAATATGAACTCTAGCACTGTACCCATTTGCATAAGGAGGACACTGAGAAAGAGAGACATTGCTGTGTGTACTCATACCCAGACTTCACAGTCATACAATATTTCCCACACTGCATCTACAAGGGTAGATACAACCTTTGGCCATATGCCGCAGAACTATGGAAGTGTTCAATAATTGTTCTTTTACTTCTCATATTCACCATCAATGAGCTTAAGTCCTGTGAGCAGCTCATGGAGGCCACGATATAAGGTTTTTAGCATACCAATGGTTTGTCAAATGCATTTTAAGTGGATTAACTTTATCCGAATTCTTTTTTTTTTTTAAGTAATGAGGGCATTTTGCAATAACGTTTAAATGATTGTCAAACACTGCTCTTCATATTATATGAAAACAGCCCAAACATATCTGTTGTTTGGCAGGAAGCACCACTTCATGGCATCTACATGTAGGGTAGAAATATTTAAGTTATCCCACAGTGGACATGTTCAAAAGTTGACTCTTCCTTAAACCACTAAAATCCCACTGAGATATAAAGACTATGGAATATCCCTTTGGAATTCTGCAACCTTGGCCTAAGAACAATTTTTTTCAGGGTAGAGAAAACTTGAACCAGGGATCACCACACACGTTTCTTGGTGTAAAAAAGTAATAAAGAGCAATTCAGTTTTACTGCCTCTAGCCTAGTGCCAGTATTATTGGAAGCAATAAAAGTAAAATAATGTGGCTCAAAAATAAGTGGACAAAATCAAAATGTGAAAAGTTGAAGGGAATCATCCAGCAGCTACTGAATGGAACAAATGGATCTTAGGTTTAAAACACTTAGAATTTATTCTCAGGTCATGAGCATAATAAAAAGTCTGAAAAAAATCATGGATGCTTTTCAAAAGAAAAATGATCAGAACTAAAGACATTTGATCTACAATATCAACAATTTATCTATTTAACATCTTTTTCATGTAATCTGAGTCATCTTCTCTTTATACTACCTACCATACAGTCCATAAATATTTACTGAATACCTGCCACTGTGGAGGCAGCTAGCATGCTAGGAGAGAGGGATTCTAAACTAGGTTCTCCAAGAGAAACAGGTAAATATGTAATGTTTACAATACAAATACAACGAGGTAAGAGTTTACAGGAGACATACACAAAATGTATCAGAAGAATATTTGCAAAGCCTCTTGTGTGGGAGGAATTAAAAAATAATGCTGAAAATAATGCTTTTGAACATTTTTCATTAACCTATTCACAAATTCCTATGATCCGATGAAAATAATATTATTTGCTAGTAACATGAGTGTGAGTTGAGTACGATTTCAACTTTCTGAGTATTTTTGCATTTGTCACCTTTTAGTTATTACTTCACTTAGTAAACCACTACTTTATAATGACCTCCTGAAATTTTACTCAAAGACTAAGTTTTCAGTGCTTGGCAATTTAGGCACTTCCTCAATTTCTAAAAGTAAAACTGAGAAGTATTTCAGAGTAATAAAGAAAAAAACGCAAATGTTAACAATTTACAATTATGATTGGGCACATCTTTACATAAGACCATTAGACCAATAAGAAAAATCGTGAAGTGAATCAAGGAACTAATTAGCCACTAGCAAGAGGAACTGTACCATTTGGAGAATGCACAGTAATATACAGAAAAGTTGTGGTGATGTAAGGGACAAAGGATTAATAATACAGCTCTGGCAACAGGGAAATGCTCCTGTGTCTTTTGTACATAACACACCGATTTATTGCAAATAGTTCACAAACTTACTAAAGAGACTGTACGTACTGTCCCTGAAATTTTAAAACGTAAATTCCTTTTGAGAAGTCTACAAGAAGTAAAATAGATAAAATCTGTTTGTTTTATATTCAGTCACACTCTTTTACTTACACTGGGCTACAAGGCAAACAGCTATTCTGTATGATGCTTTAAACAATAATCTTTGGTAGTAAAAGGGTTTGCCAACCTAATGGGGGCTTTTGACTTTTAACCTACTTCACTTCGAAACGCGAGGGTTCATTTTGAGTTGAAGATGGCAAATCCTGCCACATGTACCTATGCGCATGCTCCCAGACTGAGGCCCCGGGAGGAGAGGCCAAAGACACAGGCCAGGCATAGGGCCAGAGAATACTAGGAGTTTGTACCAGCCTAAATTCTGGTTTTCTTTGGGAGAAATACAAAGTTTTTAGCTTCTCTGTACCATCAGGACCGTAACACCACCCCGAAGTCATAAGTCAATTCAAAGGGGTGACAAACACAATTGGTGTCTATTTCTCCTAAGATATTGAATGGGTCTCAGGCAAAGCAAATCATCCTAACAGTCCAATCTGTCAGTCGGGCACTGAGTATCTCTGTAATACTTTCTATTGATGTGAAATCCACTTGCAAACAGTTCTCTCTCTACCAGAGTAACTTATTGAAAGTCATTTATAAAAAGACCTTGTTTAGTCTGCAGAATAATTAATATAACTTATATAGCAATCAAGTACCTAGACGTTAAGAATCAGCGTGCTGATGTCACACTGAGCACCACTCTTCTTCCAACTTCTCCCTATACTCTACAAAATTCACCATATGAAGGGATAAAGGGAAATTAGGGCATTTATATTAAGGAAAAGCTAAAGTAAAATATAAACCAAGTGCATACTGAAAAGGAGAAGTGTAGGGGTATTGAGCAATTTTTACTGAGATAGGAAAGGTATCTTGGAGCTCAGAAATGACACTGAAAACATAAATCGTGGGTGGCTGGGTGCCTCAACAGGTGGAGCCGTCCAACTCTTGATTTTGGTTCAGGTCATGATCTTGGGGTCTTGGTATCAAGACTCGAGTCAGACTCTGCTAGAGAGTCTCTCTCCTCCGCCCTCCGCCCCTCCCCCCTGTTCATGTGCTTGCTCTCTCTCTCAAATAATAAATCTTTTTTTTTTTTAAGAAAGAAAAGAGAACATAAATCAATTCTAATTCATTTCTTTGTCCTTCCTTTTTCTTCATCAATTTCTCAAATCTCCCCAAAGGAAGAAGGAGGTCCTTTTTGTAAGATTTGGAAATGTGAAAATCATTATATTTTATTAGGAAGTAATGAGCTCAACAGTACCAGTGGTCCTGAGTCTGCATTCTCCCTGCCTGATCCTCTGAGGCTTTCCTTCCACAGGCAAAGCAGAGGCTCTGGGTTGAACAGAAGATCAAGGACTGAGAGGGCTCAGGAACAGGGTAAGGATGTCAATTATATACTCAACAGCAAACTATTTTTTAAAGATTTTATTTATTTATCCATGAGAGACAGAGAAAGGGGCAGAGACATAGGCAGAGTTTAGAAGCAGGCTCCACACAGGAGCCCGATGTGGGACTCAATCCTCGACCCTGGGATCAGGCCCTAAGTCAAAGGCAGGTGCTCAATTGATGAGCCACCCACGCATCCCTAAATAGCAAATTTTTAAAAAAGGTTTGAAAATGTAATTACTTGCTTTCCAAACCCCATCAATAATATTGACTTCAATACTGTGTTAAACAGTTAAAAATGACTTGATCAAAATATTCTGTAAATCCTTCAAATACTCAAAACTGGAAATCTATCTGAAGATCCATTTTTAAACCCCAACCTCTATTACAGATAAAGAAATATAAGAAAGCCCTTGGGGAAACCAGTTGTTCTCCAGGTCTTAGTCTAAAACACCAAATCAATTTATATTTATTGAATACATGCATTCAGAGGGGAAGGCAGTTTGTCTTAGATTTTGCTTCTGCAAATTGGAAAATTTAGCCTGTTTCTGTGAGATCTCTAAGTATCTAGGAGACTCTCCCTGTCTGATTGTCCTATTTTATTAGCCTTAGGAGGCAACTGCACGCATATGTGAGACAGGAATCACACTTCCTCAGGAGAACAGGGCTCGTTGAAACATCAACACAAGATTTATACACTAGCATTTATTTTGCTTCGGAATGTGACCTACTATAAATAGAATCTGACCTGCAATAAAGCACAGAAATATGAAGAGTTGGAAATATTGATAAGTGACATTCTGAGATCAGTGGTGTTATGGAGGTACTGTTTATGACTAAATCCTAAAATCAAATTACACATACCAAAGAAACAACATAAAACACAGCAAGAAAAATGAAATTATATAAAGCAGAAAATCAAACACATGAGATTTTTGTAAACAACTACTCAAAAATAGCATTCAACAGATCATTTCCTGAATCATTAAGATGAAGAAAATGGAAAAGAGAAATAGTAAGAGGGGATACAAGAAAGACATCAGTGTTGCTCATTAAGCCTGGATCATACCTGCCACGCTGTAAGGCAAGAGGTGCACATCAAATGCCCACAGGGCTCAATCTTGACATCTTTGTCGTTCTCAGCACAAATTTTACAGAGCTGAAAAGTGGAGCCCATTTCACAATATAATTCATATTGTTCCTGGAATTTGGGAGAAAAAAGGCAGTGTTAATGTATTTCTAACATGAACTCTTAAAACTGAATTATCTCAAATACAATGACTTACAGTAAATTCCTTATACTCGATCCTGTTGAGAATATGTTACTGTTGAAGACATGTTTTAAATTGGTAATCACAATTTGGTCTACAAAGTCATTTTTTAAATGATGTGAGATTTTATCAGCAACTTCATAATCTTTTTTAATACTTTAGATTATTTAATGTTTTGGACTGTTCTTTTGGGAAGGGACTTGCTTCAATGGTGACTCAAAAGGCAAAACTTACAGTTTTGAAAGAAAATGTAAATAACATTAGTTTCTTTGTAAGTACTCATCTAATTTTACTGTAAAACTGCAAATATACAGACATTCATACCTGTTATCGTATATATTTATATACGATACTGACTGAACATTAAATTTTATTTCTTAACTACTGTTAGAAATTCCAGAACAGAAGAAAAGCAGCATTTGCCAAGACCTTCCTGCATGCTAGGGGCTGTGTTCCACATTTATCATATAGTCTCCAAAGCATAATAAGATATATTGAATTAAAAAAATACCTGAGGCTCAGTAAGTTTAGATTGTTTTCCTCAAATTCTATATTAAATCTCTAAATTGCATATTCTTTTCCCAATACAGCACTGTCAGGAAAACTAATCACTTCAGCAACCAAAAATGCTTTATTAAACATCTATTCTCTTGATATACTAGTTTTGAACATTTTGGCATAGTAAAATTCTTGGTGTCCAAATACTGAAAAGATCTATGTCATAAAGAAGACACAAATACATCAGTGCATGTAAAGAAATTATGAAAAATTAATAGGGATACAAAGAAAATTAATAGGGATACAAAGAAAGTGAATTATGGAAATAAAAATTCATTTAAAGGAGGCAATGTTTCAGTCAGTAAGTGCCTATTACGTACCTGGCACTTGGCAGGATAAATAAGTGACAATATTTAACTCCTAGTCTACCAAAAGATCTTACAATCTTGATGAGAAAAAAAAAGCACATATATACAAAGATACACTTGCACATATACACATTCTATGTAAGCTGCGTCTGCCATGAAGTATGTATGACTACATAATTCTTAAAGAAATTAAGAAAAAAGATGAGAATGGATCAAGATGAAAAATAAATCTAAAGCAATTAAAAATAAATTGTAAGTCACTGAAGTCTCTAAAATAAAATAATAGCTAAGGATTTATATTGTTATGACATCCAAAAGACTGGTTTGCAAATATTAAAAAATTACAGTAAGCTAAGATTACAACTGCAGAATTCATTGGAACCTAAGTGGTAAGTTAATCAAATATTTATAAAATTTAATTGAGTATTACTCCAGAATATGTATTTTTATACCATGACTCTATGAAGAGGAAGTGTCTTTTGTGAGTGTCCTTTTACATGTATTAGAACATAATTACTACACAAGTAAAATGATGTCAATTATATGGTATACTTTAAAAACTGTCCATCAACTGTACATATGTCAAAAAATATGCTTCACACAATAATACCAATACCAAATCAAAATAAAATTTAAAATTACCTCTTGTCTTCCCCAAAATCTATAATTTCTGTTTTTTATTAGACTTTTATTTGTGATACAAAGCACAAAAATTTATGTTATAAAATAAAACTAGACTCTATGTAAAATAAAATACTCAGGTTCTCCCTTTCATCTTCTTCCTTTTTTTTTTTTTCAATTTTTTTTTTAATTTATTTATGATAGGCACACAGTGAAAGAGAGAGAGGCAGAGACATAGGCAGAGGGAGAAGCAGGCTCCATACACCAGGAGCCCGACGTGGGATTCGATCCCGGGTCTCCAGGATTGTGCCCTGGGCCAAAGGCAGGCGCTAAACCGCTGCGCCACCCAGGGATCCCCTTCATCTTCTTTCTAACTCCCCAAATCCTCCTACCTCCTTAATTAAGTGTTATTACCAGTTTGGTATTTCTTATTTTTTATTTTTAAAAAGTATATTCATATGTTCATATATGGTAATTTCTTTCTTCCTTTCTTTCTTTCCAGAAATTGACTTTATGTAATATAACTTTACAAAATGAAATGTTACATAATGGAGCTTTCAGTAATGGAACTTTTCTATGTAATAAAGATGCCGAAGTTCCCACATGAGTAATAAAGTTTGTGGAGCTACCTTCCTCCTCTTAATGATTCTACGACATAATGCAATATGAATACACTATTTAACCCATGATTAAATAGTTTCTAACTTTTCATGTTAGAAAAAATTCTAAAGTGAATACCCCAATGTACAGATCTTTCTGCATCTATGTGAGGGGTATATACAGAAACCAGAGTCAAAAATGTTTTTATTTGGATTTGGATAATTACTGAATATCACCCTCAAGAAAGGCTTACCAATTTACACTCCCATTCAATCTATGAGGCTGCCAACAATGGATTTATAAGAATATATTTATTATTTTCAATAAGCTTCAAGTACTCATTTGACTCTAAAAGCTAATGCATATCATTATTCTAATCTTCTTTGGAATTTTCTTTTTTTTATTTTTTTTTAATTTTATTTATTTATGATAGTCACAGAGAGAGAGAGAGAGAGAGAGGCAGAGACACAGGCAGAGGGAGAAGCAGGGTCCATGCACCGGGAGCCTGACGTGGGATTCGATCCCGGGTCTCCAGGATCGCGCCCTGGGCCAAAGGCAGGCGCCAAACCGCTGCGCCACCCAGGGATCCCCTTCTTTGGAATTTTCTAAACCTATGGTCTCTCTTCATATCTGTATACTTACCTATGGATTTATCTATATATCTGCATACATGCCAGTATTATATTGGAAGAATGTTAAGAGAAATTTTTATCCAAAAAATGGAGCAAGTAATGTATTTTTCTCAAACATTTTTAGAATTCCTCAAAGTATCTTTTGCAAAAAATATCTGTACTAATAATTTTAGCTACACTATAAGAGGAAGCTTTTTATTTAAAAAGCATTAGATACTTAACAATTATAAATATGTTACCAGAAATTGTCCTTACCTGCGTAACTTTTATATGGTCATGTGGTGTGGGTTCACATAATCCAGTTAAATCAGGATTATAACTCCTCCCATCAGGATAAAGATAGCTGGATTATAAACAGAAACTTTATTACCATAAAAACAATTTTTAAGTGCATTTCATATTAATCAGATTTTTCTATATTCAAACCCACATGCTGAAGTTTCCTTTTAATGTAACTTATATCAAGAACTTGTGCGGCCACAGTTTCCATAATATTATAAGTCACTTTCAAGACATTTAAAAATTTAGAAATCATTTTCATATGAGAAATACATAATGAATATGGACTTGGCCACTCAGCAACTATGTCTAGTTAAATACCTTTATCTGTATGTCCTTTAGGTAAGTTAAAAATTTATTTTTCTTGTCATTTATGCTCTATTCCAAAATACTTTGAATGTACACCTACTTGCAATGGTTGTGTCTTTCATGTGAAGCACAGTTACTGTTAGGTGCATTATTTTCCACCATGCTTAATAACACAAGAGAAAAACGAAATGAAAGCCCACAAATTTCCTACAAAAGTTATGTAGACACCTCCACAGTGTTCCTGTTTTCCAGTTTCCCATCCTGTCTTCTCATCTCACCTTCCACCCACACACACACACACAAGTCTACACATACACAGTCAGACATGTGCACACACGTTTAAAGAAATCAGAAAATGCTACAATTATATGTTTCATTTACTTCAAATCAAGCTACACACACAAAATCATTTTATAAATCTGACGTTCCACTGTTAGAATTAAAATAAGAACTCAAAGTTACAGTAAGGAGACCATCTTGTTAAAAGCTTTTATTCATTCAGACATTCATTTAAAAATGAAGTTTATTCTGTTGGTAAATACCTGCTTTAGATTTTGAAAAAATGATAATATTACTACTAGATTATGTTGACTGATTAAGTTATACAGTTAGTTTTGTTCGGTAGCTCTCTGTTCTAGATAGTTTGAATGAAAAATTCAGAATAGAATGCTACTGTGATCATTATTTTAAGGGGCAAAACTATACTAAAACTGTTCTGTGAAGTAACAAAAAATATTTATCCTTACATACTCTATAAATATTTTCGTGAATGTTCAAATTTTCCTAGTAATACAGAATAAAAATGAACCTAGAGGACAGACAATTCTCATGGGGGTAAGGAACAAATCAGTAGATCAGTGAGATTTCTATTTGCTTGTTTTTCTTGTTTACAATTTAGGAAAGGGTTGACCACATCTGAAATGACAAATTTAGAGTGTTTTCACAGGGGTAAAGTTCTACAAATATTAATTGAAGAGTGATAAGTGAGAGTTGATAAGTAACTTTCCTTTTATATCCTAAATAATGGCCAGTTTTTAAGTTATTATATAAGATTTTTGTTCACCACACGCTTAACATAGAGAAATTCTATGAAGAATTCAAAACTGAAATATTATAAAAACGATAATAAGGTTGGTAGAGGAAAGGTTAAAAGGGTCTATCTAATGTGCAAGGGGAAATTCAGTGATTACTGTCCTCCTCAGTAAACCAGGATGCTACTGATAAGTCCCTCTCTAAAGTAGGGAAGGAATAAAGAATCTCAGCTGGTTATGGAAGTAAACTTCTTTATTACCTATGTCATAATATATTGCATTAACTATAAGGAAAAGACAGCTGACTCTGATGATAGACGGGCCAGATAATATCCTGCATTTTACTGATCTTAGGGGGGGTGGAAACCCTGTCTACAGTAATAATATCTATTTTAATATAATCTAAAAATATGACCTAGATTTAAATAAGATTAAAATGTTAATCCGACCTATTTTAATGTAATCTATCACTGAAGTTCAAGTTCAACTAATTAATTGCCTCTGAAGGGGTGTGTGTATGTAAATATTAACAGCTGATTTGCATAGGAGTTCAGAGGCCAAACTACTGATTACAATAATATTTTATTAGCTTTTCAAGAATAGATGGAAGGCATTATAAACATATAAATAAACTGTACCAAAATGACCACATGTACAAATTTACCCACTTGTAACCTCTATTTATAAAGTAAAACCTTACAGCACATTTGATTAAAAACAAAATCCTGTAATCACAGTGAATCAAAAGCTACATAGATGAATCTTTAGATGCGTTATAAGTAAGGTATAAATAACTGAGGAGACCAAATTTATGATAAGTTAAAGAAACAGATACACATACTTGTTACCAGTTTGCCGCACAATTTTTACGTAACTATTTCTCGAAAGCTCCCAACTTATAAGAAATGCATTTTTCTTCATATATATCCTATCACATTTATTTTCTTTTTTGCAATTATTTTAGAAAAGGTGTAATTTTTCTTCTCTTTGCTAACTCTTGTGGACTTTCTCCTGCTAGGTTTCTATCACCATCTGTTCCGCAGCAAATAAGGGAACAGCCGTCTGTCTCTAAGTCACTCAGTAAGGGCAAAGGGCAAGAAAAGTAAGCTTGATGATATGACAATAGAATAGAACAGGAAACAGAACAAAAAGATGAAGGGAATGGCACATGACTAAAACAAATGAGAGGTATTTACCAGGAAGGCACCTATCAGATTGTTTAAACTGTGTGGAAGAAAAAAAGTCATTCTTACTCTGAAAGACAAAGGAGAACTTACATATTTTTAAAATTTTAAAAATGCATAGCTTAAGTTAAACTGAATACAGCTAATAACAGATAATTCTGGAATAGGGACTGGATATCAGTGTGACCAAAAGGAGAAAGATACAAAGAGAAAAGGAAGGAAAGGGGTAAGAAAAGGGTAAGAAAAAAAGGAAAATCTAGTCAAATAAAAAGGAGGGTTACACGAAGCAACAGAAGTCTGTGATTTTAAAGAATTATCTTCTTAATAAGCTTTTTCATCTATTTGAAACTACTTTTCAGTACCTTTTTTTTCTCCCATAAAAGATACAAACTCGTGTTCTAATCTGATGCTGGAACTGACTGGCTGTCATATGCAATTTAATTCAAATCAGTTACCTTAAAATCACTATTTTAAGAGATGAACGATAAAAACTAAGGAGCACTCCATTTCTGAGCCTTGAAATAATAACCCAAAACAGCCAGATCATCAGCCTTACTATCTTTTCTCTCCATCGCAAAGCAGTGTCTATCTTTCAAATTGGTGAATAATAAGCACCCTGACTCCCATTTCTCATACTCACAATCCTTCCCTGCTGCCATCAATCAGGGCTTGAAACAAGGGCTTGTTATGTGGTATGGTCTGTAAGATATTGCCATCCCCTGTCACATAGCCGATGGCCCACTGTCCCAATCTGGTGCAGCTTAACCGGAAAATGTAGCTGTAAAGCATGAGAAAATTATGTTTAGTCACATTCGAAGTGTATGTTAACTACTAAACCATCTGTTAGACTTTTTTAAAGTCAAGAAATAAACGGAATCATTTAGAATATCTGAAATAAGGCTCTATCTTATTTTTACACCGTTGTCCTTCTCCGTTCATTGATCTGTAAAAGCAGCACTGACAATAATTCTATTTAAATACTTCCAGGGCTACAGGACTAAAGAATTGAAGTTGATGCACTTCAGTATCAAAAAATCCACTGCCATCCCCATCAGCAGGTGCTCTGTATGCAAGTGTGATGGTATGAAACAGCCAGGACAGAAATCATTTTGGGAAGTAAAGTAAAAATTTAATTTGTTCACCTCAAGACAGAAACTGAGTCTGTTTCTACCATGGAATTCAATATGTTACGTTGTCATTTTAAAATTGTGCATTTTTAGTGAATGACTTGTTTAAAAATACTATTTTTTTCTTTTAAGTGTTCCAGCCATTCATCTTTAAATGAAAGATCAAAAGAGCTGAACTATACTAATGAGAAGGCAAACTAGATTAAGCTCATGGCTGCCACCCAACCCGGTCCAGTTCAATGTCCTGCAGTAGGAAGTTAAAATAGTTCAAAACTATAAATCAAATTAATGACACTGACAAGGAGATGCTGACTTGGTTTTAAATTCATTGTTATTTATTTGTTAATACAGCTGTCTGCTTATTTCATTTTAGATCATTTATCTTTATTTAAGTGTACTGCACTCAGTCTTGCCATCATGACAACCAGATCTGGATTTTAGAACCCCTTAAGCAGCTCAAAAGTAGGTCAACAATCTGTTGGCTGTATTTGAGTACCCTGATTGCTATACATACGTGACAGAAATTCATATTTCTTAATGTACATTAGTTACTGATGAACCAAGTACTATAAAAATAACTTTACAGGATAAATTAACATATATAATGGCTATATAGTCATTCAATTTAATTGTATATTTAATACTGCAAGGTGATTTCATCTTTCTTTCACCAAGAAAATTGGTTTTGTGGGGTTTTTTTTAAGAGTTTATTTATTCATGAGAGATACAGAGAGAGAGAGGCAGAGACACAGGCACAGGGAGAAGCAGGCTCAATGCAGGGAGCCTGATGCAGGACTTGATCCCGGGACCCCGGGGTCATGACATGAGCTGAAAGCAGACGCTCAACCACTGGGCCACCCAGGTGCTCCAAAAATTGGGTTCTTAAAGAAAGGAAGAAGTTGTGACTTTTAAATACTGAGAACTTCACACTTGTTTGGAATCTCTGGAAAGGACTTTTCAAGAAAGCCCAAAAGCGTATTCTCCTAGAGAGCCTGGAAACAGAATACCGACCTGCCAATTAATGGAACCCTTAAATCACAATCACAGGCAAAACCGTTCCACACAGACTTCTGGCTGTCAGTTGGATTCCCCCCAAAAAGCAAAACCTGAGAGACTCCAATGTCCTTGGAATGTCCTACTGTTTTCTGTACCATGAAGCTAAAGAAAAGAAACACTTTCCAAAGAGAAAAAACAGGTATTTTGCAAAGCAAGTATTAATCAAAATTGTTTGATCTGTTTGCCGAGTTTTTCTCAGGTTTACATTTCAAATACCACATCACACTTTACACATAACTGTACCACAGACTGACCACTTCATCGTTGCCTAAAACTTAGTAGAATAAACCGTTACACAGCAAGTTAGGAAGAAAAGGAAGACGTCCTTTTGGAGGATACTGGCTTTTTCTTAAGAGAACTAGTCCAATAGTGATGAGGCCTGGCTTTTGCTCCCAACAGTGTTCTCTCCCAACATTATTTATCTCCATGATCTTGAATAAAAGAATACAAAAGGGACTTGGGTTTCTTAATTTCCCAAATAAATTCTGTGTTAAATTTGTATGATTGTGTAATTCCAAACATAGCACATCTTTCAAATAATACTCCAAGAACAAAAAGATACTTTGACCAATCTATAGAGTAGACGTTATGGAAAAATCTGGTTAGGAGGGATCCTTGACCAAAAGAGAATGACTCATCTAAGCCACCGTCAGCATCTCAATGAGAACCAACTCTCCTTAATCTAAACAGAAGACTTCATTCAATAGGAGCCAAACTGTTCTCTGTACCCACTACCTTCTTTTTATCTACCATATAAATTCTTAAAGACAAAAAAGATGGGAATTTTAATTATGGCAGAGGAAAAGGAATAGACAGTATTGGCTTGTACTAGAAACTACTTTGTTAAAGGACAAACACCATTTGCACTACAAATCAGATTCAAAAAATGGCATTAAAAGAAAAGTGTAACCATTAAAAAAAAACAGCCAAACTCATTTCCACATTCATCCAGTGTTCTCATGGATGTTGGATTGTTATCTCCTACTAAAATGTCAGTGTGAGAGGACAGGTCTCAATTGTCATTGCTGCCATACTCCGCACACTGCTTGACAAAGCACAAAAACCTACCATGTAACTAATGCATTTCTAAATGGCACATGGGGTAAATGCATGAACCAGGAAAGAGATTTTCTGATCCAGATTTGTCATTAATAAGGTATAATTTCAAAGCCACAGGGGCTGACCAAACAGTCAACTTCTGTGACTTTCACCTAGTTTCATCATCTGGAAAAACAAAACATGAATTCTGAAACTACAAAGAATAAGACAGTATGAAAGGAATTTTTAAGAACATGAAATTGGTTGGAATGGGTTTATATACGTTTAGATACTTATGCGTGTTTATCATGTACATATTTGTATGCTTTTATGTACTTATATTTGTTATGTATTATATGTAATTATGTTTAGCATAGAACCAAATTGAGTATCTTGAAAAATACCCTAAAATAATGAACATGAAACAGATTTGTCTTTAGCACAATATTCAAGTATTCAATATACACTTACAATTTTATGCAAACCCAGGTGTCATGAAAACAGACAATGCTAATACTCCAATTTGAAAATCAGAGCTCTGAGACTTAATACATTTCTAGGTTTATCAAATTACATGGTACCATATACTCTTTCACTTTATGAACACAGAATAAGTACAATGAATCAATATAAAGGATTCAATTAAGAAGTACCATTGTGGTCTATTAGCATTTCCTCCCCAACACCCGCCACCTCCTCCAGCCACGGGTGTTACTGATTTACTTAAATGGACAAGAGAGCACTTTTCATCATTAGATATACCACATAATATTACTGCTGAAAAGGCTTACCTTCCAGGTTTGGTGCTGTATTTCTGCAGTCGTGCTTTAACTTCATCGTATGTGAGAAATGCCATGTAACCTGGATGTGTTACAGCTAAGAAATTCCAATTCCGTAAAATAGAGCCCCAAGGCTAAAAATATGAATAAATGAAAAGGTGTTATCTAGGTAATATCAACTACCAATTATATACCAACCCATCATTTAATATATAGTTACTGAAACTCTCGGATTTTTTTAAGTGAATATGAGCTTATGTGGCTTGGGTCAACTTTTATCACCTAACAGCAAACATGCCCTACCTTATTCTCTTTTTGAGAAATTTTAGGCAGAAAACAGGATAGAATACAAAGAAAAAAAAAGAAAAACTACATACTTTCTTCACAAATTCTATTCCCAATACGGCATTTGTGATCATTTTGATACATACATCACTTTTTTGTTCAAAACTCTCTAACTTTGAGTAAAAGCCAAAGTCCTTATAAAAGGTCTAGGACTTTAGGGTTGATGTCTAGTTCCCTTTCCTCTCCATCTGCTGTGACTTTTGCACTTCCAGCCTCCTCTCCAGGCACCCTGGCTTCTTCTCTGTAGTTGGCTTGAACACAAAGGTACTCTCCCCCCTGAAGTTTTAGATTTGAGGATTCCTCTACCAGAATTTGTTCTCCAAATATCTAGGCAATTCCTCTCCAATGTCACTTCCTCAGTGAAGCATTCTTGGACCACTCTATTTAATACTATTAGTTCTCATCACATTCCTTATCTCCCTTGGTCTGTTTTTGTTCAAAGCCATACCGTTAAGGTATCTTATTTTCTGGAATAAGAAGCCATACCATAGAATATAAGTGATTTGGCAAAGGTGATATATTAACCAAAAGCTACATGAGATTAAGGAACATGCCTGTCTTGCTCACTAAAGGGATACCAGCATCATGTGGTATCAGAATACAGTGATCAGGAAGGCATAACTGTCGTGAAGCTCCTCTAACAAGGACTTGTCTGAAAAGTCTTGACTCCCAACCTACCGTTCTTTCCATGGTGACATACACTGTATTCAGATTTGGCTAACTGTTGTACAATTAGAGGATTTATGATGTAGTAGTAAATTAAAAATCTTTCATGAAAATACATAAATGAACACACAAGAGTTTGTACCATTCTTTCATGTGATTAGTTAGCCCTCAAGTTACCATGGCAAGAGAAAAAAAGACAGTGATAGACAATTTTGCTTGAGGGTGTGAATGAATCATCTCTGCCATATTTTTAAGGCTGAAGCTCCATTTATTCCACGGACTTGGCATCATACTCTATCTGATGTGCCAGATTATTAACTCAGATCTTCTACAGAAAAGGAGAGAAAGGTATTTTATGTTGCCAAGTTAAAGTTGTTGAGATGGGCATCCTAGCCATGATCATCGGTAGAGGGGCTCCTGCTTTTGTTTTGAGACTTGTTCCTCATTATTGTTAAGAAAGTTTCAGATTTACAGGGTGGATGGTATCTCTTGAGATGAGGATAACAAGGGAAAGAATGATTTAGAAATGAAGAGTTCTTTAACCTTTTCTGACATAACAAGAAAAATCTTTGGGGCATTCCCTCATCACACTAAAATATGTAATTGGGCAAAAAGGAGCCCTGGAGAACACTATTAGGAGAGGTTCTATCTATGCAGTTGGGGGAAAAAGCATGTTTCTAATTTTCTTCTAAAATCATGACTAGAAATTACACAAACAATACTTGGAAGAATATCAGCACATGTTTTTCAAAAAAAAAAAAACTGAGAAATAACAGCTAGTCTAGGCACTGGGTTTTGTTTTGTTCTACTTCCCCATCTGCAATAGGACAAGGATGGAAAGAATATAAAATATTTGGGTCACTTCCATTAAAGTCTACAAAAATTAATGGAAGAGTTGTTAAAAAAGATGCTGAACTTTACGGACAGCCAATACGCAGATCAGAATACAAGTGAAAAGAAAATGAAATTGGAGTTTTGAGCCAACTGCTACAGTATTAAGCAACCATTTCTTAGTACATAATCCAGAGGGCCAGCTTCTAACTACAAAAATATTTTTGTAATAGAAAGAGTCTGTGTACTGTTTTCCTTGTGAATGCAACCCACAGTCAGAAACACATGGTAGTTCCGTTTTTTTTTTTTGTTTGTTTGTTTAAGTATTTTGCTAACCAGTGGCCTAAAGAAGGCAACATAAAATGCTTTGGAGAATAAGAATTATTTTTGCAATTTGTTTAGATTAAAAGAAATGTTTTCATACTCACCAACACAAAATTACTTAGAGATTCTTAAATGACTACAGAAACTAATTGAATGAATTAAGGAAGCTATTCCCTCCATTCTTCCAAAATACTACTATTTTCAAGAATAGCCTTTTCCTGACTTCTAACTTCTTTTTTTTTTTTAAAGATTTTATTTATTTATTCATGAGAGAGAGAGAGAGAGAGAGACAGAGAGACGGACACAGGTAGAGGGAGAAGCAGGCTCCATGCAAGGAGCCCGACGTGGGACTCGATCCCAGGTCTCCAGGATCACACCCTGGGCTGAAGGCGGCGCTAGACTGCTGAGCCACCGGGGCTGCCCCTGACTTCTAACTTCTGTTAGAAGAGGGGCCTGGTTGGGGACTGGTCTGTCCAGATTCACTCTTATCCCCTGCTATGACAGATGACTTTCCTCTTCTTTTGTTCCCTATTCCATTGATGCTATATATTCCATAGTCATGAATATATTCCCCCAACTCACACATTCCTTATCATGCCACCCCTCAAATTTATTACCCCATTTCTCGGCAACCCAATCTTCTCTAGTAGTGGGGAAATGGAAGGAGAAGGGGAGCAGTAGCCCCAGGGAGACAGAAGAGGGAAGCAAAATCCCTATTTCCATTCCAGGACGTTTGCACCTGCCAATCCCAGCATCTCTGAAATACTCAAGAGAGGAGAAAGACCAAATTAAAGGCAGAAGAAAGAAGAAATGGTAGCTCCACAAGATTGTTCCAATGACTTCCTGGCATTGTTCCAGTTGTGGAAGAATTTGAGGATAAGGGAAGAGAGGAAAAGAACGTAACTAGGAAGCCAGCTTTACATTCTTCCCTTCTTCTTTCATTTCCTAGACAATTCTCAACCTCATCTCCTCGTCTCCATTGACAACTTCTTGAAATCTTTTATGCTAGTTCTCTGTGTCTGGTTCTCTGTGTCTGGTCCCAATCTTGAACACTTACCTTAGCTCCTTTCAGATCCCATCCTGCTAAATACCTCACACTCTCAACAATTTAGAGATATCAGAATTCACTGCCAAATCACCACCACCACTGAGACTACAGAAGAATATACGTTCATGTGGTTACTTACATGAACAAAACATGTATATTTTTAAGTAGCCTCTTCTATTATTTTTTTTTAAGATTTTATATTTTTATTCATGAGAGACACACACACAGAGAGAGAGGCCGAGACACAGGCAGAGGGAGAAGCAGGCTCCATGCAGGGAGCCCAGCGTGGGCCTCAATCCCAGGTCTCCAGGATCATGCTCTGAGCCAAAGGCATCCCAAAATACATTTTCCATACAGAATGCATAATTATAACTTACAAAAAACCTATTCCTCAATTTTAAAGCTGTATAAAAACAAAAGATCAGTAGAAGCTAACAAATCTACTTTTCTATGCATAGCCCTAATTTGAAGGCACATGTGTATTAGTTAAAGCATCTGAATAACGAAACCAAAAGAAGTGAAGAATCACAGAAGCATATAGGAGCTAATGAGAGTTCTTTAGCTACTTCTGTAATTATGTGTTTTAAAAGGGATTAGGCAGGGATGCCCGGGTGGCTCAGCGTTTGAGTGTCCGCCTTTGGCCCAGGGCGTGATCTCGGAGTCCCACAATCGAGTCCCACGTCAGTCTCCCTGCATGGAGCCTGCTTCTCCCTCTGCCTGGGTCTCTGCCTCTCTGTCTCTCTGTGTCTCTCATGAATAAATAAATAAAATCTTTAAAAAAAAAAAAAAGGGACTGAGCATTTTGGGTCCACAGGTGTATTTTGTTTTTTTTTTTTTTACCTAAAACTTTTCATGGTACCTCTACTTAAAAAGATTCTTTTCCTTTCCCATCCCAGCAAGCATAAATAAGACATAAAAAATTAAGATTACCTATGCTGTTTTAAAGTGAAACAGCTTATAAGAAAATACGTGCACACATTAAATATAGCTTAGGTAAGTGTTTAACCAACATTAAGGTGCCCTCATACCTTTCATAAATAACTGAGGCACTCTAGCATTTAACATCCACACTAAAAAGTCATTCAGGCTCCCCACAAAAAACACTTTTCCCAGAATGAACAGTTAGGTTTAAAGTAGGAGAATAGTTTTTCTCTCTTCCTTCATAAGGGGAAGAAACAAGGTTTCTACTACTTCAAATGTCCTTATATTATGTGAAACAAATTATTTGTAAATTTATCAGAAACCTTTAAAGAAAGGAGAGGTTCTATTATAAAATAGTATTAGGTAACACAGTCTTTTTACAAAATGTATTTAAAAATGATTGAAAAAAATAAGCTAATGGCCTACGCAGGCATACCTCATTTTATTGTGCTTTGCTTTACTGCACTTTGCAGATACTGTGTTGGTTTTGGTGGGTTTTGTTTTGTTTTTCAAATTGAAGGTTTGTGGCAACCCTATATTGAGCAATTTTACCATGGCACCATTTTTCCAACAGCATTTTTTCACTTCAAGTCTCTCTGTCATTATTTGGTAATTTTTTTAAAGATTTATTTCAGAAAGAGAGAGCAAGGAGGGGGAGGGTGAGAGAAGCGCAAGCAGACACCCTGTGGAGCACAAAGCCCAATGTGGGGGAGAATGGGGCTCAATTTTGCAACCCTGAGATCATCACCTGAGCCAAAAAGATGGCCTGTATTTTGGTAATTCTTTTTTTTTTTTTAATTTTTATTTATTTATGATAGTCACAGACACACAGAGGAGAGAGAGAGAGAGAGGGGCAGAGACACAGGCAGAGGGAGAAGCAGGCTCCATGCACCGGGAACCCGACGTGGGATTCGATCTCAGGTCTCCAGGATCGCACCCCGGGCCAAAGGCAGGCACCAAACCGCTGCGCCACCCAGGGATCCCTATTTTGGTAATTCTTAAAATATTTCAGATATTTAAATCATCATCATATTTATTATGGTGATCTGTGGTCTTTGATGCCACTGCTATAATTTTGAGGGGCACCACAAACCATACTCATATAAGATGTCAAATGTAACCCATAAATGTGTGTTCTGACTACTTCATTGACCAGGTGTTCTGCCATCTCCCTCCCTCTCCTCAGGCTCCCTCTTCCCTGAGACAACAATATTGAAATTAGGACAGTTAATAACACTACGATGGCCCGTAAGTGTTCAAATGAAAGAAAGACATCACACTTATCTCCCCCTAAAATCAAAAACCAAAAATTATTAAGCTGAATGAGGAAGGTATGTTGAAAGACAGCACAGGCTGAAAGCTACGCCTCCTGCACCAAACAGCTGGCCAAGTTGTGAAAGCAAAGGAGAAGTTCTTGAAGGAAATGAGAAGTGCTACGCTAGTGAACACAGGACTGATAAGAAAGTAAAACAGCCTTATTGTTGATATGGAGAAAGTTTTAGTGGTCTGCAGAGCAGATCAAGCTAGCCACAACCTTCCCCCTTAAGCAAAGTCTAGTCCAAAGCAAGACCCTAACTCTTCGATCTTAGGAAGGCTGAGAGATGAAGAAGCTACAGAAGAAAAGTATGAAGCCAGCAGAGGTTGGTTCATGAGGTTTAAGGAAAGAAGCCATCTGTGTAACATAGAACTGCCAGGTGAAGCAGCAAATGCTGATTGATGTAGAAGCTGCAGCAGTTCTCCAGAAGATCTGGCTAAGGCAATTAATGAAGGTGGCTACACTAAACAAGAGAATTTCAATGGCGATAAAATGACCTTCTAGTGGAAGAAGAGGCCATGTAGGACTTCCTTAGCTGGGGGGGTTGGGAAAGCCAGTGCCTGGCTTCAAAGCTTCAAAGGACGGGGTGACTCTTGATAGGGACTAATGCAACTCGTGACTTAAGATGAAGTCCATGTTCATTTACTGTTTTGAAAATCTATAGCTCTTAAGAACTATACTAAATCTACTCTGCTGGTGCTCTAGAAATGGATGTGTGGATGACAACACACCTGTTTACAACATGGTGTAGTGAACATTTTCAGCCCCCCTTTCAAACATAATTCTCTGGGCAGAAAGTTCCCTTTCAAAATATTACTGCTCACTGTTGATACATCTGGTCATCCAAGGCTCTGACGGAGGTGTACAATGAGATTAATGTTCTTTTCATTCTTGCCAACACAACAGTCTATGGGTCAGGGAGTAATTTCAACTTTCAAGTCCTATAATTTTTTTTTAAGATTTTATTTATGAGAAAGAGAGAGAGCCCTAGATGGGTAAAGGGAGAGATCCTCAAGCAGACTCCCCACTAAGTGTGGGGCTCAATCTCACAACCCATGAGATCGTGACCTGTGCCAAAACCAGGAGCAGGATGCTCAACTAACTGAGCCACTCAGGAGCCCTCAAGTCTTATTTAAAAGAGGGGATCCCTGGGTGGCGCAGCGGTTTGGCACCTGCCTTTGGCCCAGGGCGCGATCCTGGAGACCCGGGATCAAGTCCCATGTCAGGCTCCCGGTGCATGGCTGCTTCTCCTTCTGCCTGTGTCTCTGCCTCTCTCTCTCTCTCTCTGCATGACTATCGTAAAAAAAAAAAAAAAAAAAAAAAAAAAAACCCTCTTATTTAAAAGATATTTTGTAAGGCTATAGCTGCCCTAGATAGTGAGTCCTCTGAAGGATCTGGGCAAAGTTGATTGAAAATCTTCTGGAAAGGATTCACTATTCTAGATTCCATTAAGAATATCTGTGATTCATCGGAAGAGGTCAAAATATCAACATTCACAGGAGTTTGAAAGAGGTTGATTCCAACCCTCGTGGATGTCTTTGAGGGGTTCAAGATTTCTGTGAAGGAAGTAACTGCAGATGTGGAAATAGCAAGAGAACTAGAATTAGAAGTGGAGCCTGAAGATGGGACTGAATGACCACAATCTCATGATACAACTTTAATGGATGAGGAACTGCTCTTTAGGAATGAGTGAAGAACATGGTTTCTGGACATAGAATTTACTGATAAAAATGCTGTGAAAATTGTTGAAACAACAATAGATTTAAAATATCAGTTGATAAAGCAGCGGCAAAGCTTGAGAGGATGACTCCAGTTTTTGAAAGAAGATCTACTGCAAGTAAAATGCTTTCAAACCCTACTATGTGCTACAGAGAAATTGTTTGTGAAAGAAGAATCAACCAATGCAGCAAACTTCATTGTTGTCTTATTTTAAGAAACTGCCACAGCCACCCCAGCTTTCATCACGCTGGTCAGTAGTCATCAACATTGAGCCAAAGACCTTCCACCAGCAAAAAGATTATGTATGACTCACTGAAAGCTCAGATGATGGTTAGCATTTTATAGAAATTAAGTAGTTTTTAATTAAGGTGAATACATTGCTTTTTAAAGATATGATGTTATAACACATGTAATATTCTATAGTATAGTGTAAATATAACTTTTATATGCACTAGGAAAACAAAAAAATTTTTGACTTGCTTTATTTTGTGATATTCGCTTTATTGTATGGGTCTAGAACTGAACCTGCAGCAAGATGTGCCTGTATACACCAAGGGAATAATCATGAAGCTAGTATAAACTGAAAATATGCAAAAGCACAATTTCTGTAATCATTTATCTAATTTCTTATCCTATACATCTAAGTAGAATTATAAATTCAAAGTTGTAATGAAATAAAATGTATTCCATAAGTATTGTTGACAAGAGTTAATTTGCCTTCTGTTAACAGGTCCTTTCATAATTTAAAAGTTAATCCCACACAATTTTAGTTTCTTACATAAATCAGTCACCAGATCCTTGCAAACTAGTGCCAAACAGAATCGTAAATCAGAAAAGGGAAATTCTTATAACATGGGAAACATGCAAACCAATATCATACCCTAACATTTGTTGAAAGCATGTTTCAAAGAAAGTAAATCTTACTGCAGACTAAAATAATATAAAATTGCATCAGAATATAAGCAAGCTTGTGTTCTGATCAATTTTATTTCACTTACTATAGAATTACTACAATCATAAAGATTTTAAGTGGGATTTTTTTTTCATTTTTGTGACTACTTGAATTGAATGCAATAGATGATACACAATTTAGTGGTGGAGACAAATTCAAAACACAAATTTTAAGTTTTCATGTTTAGGTCATTCCATGAAGATATACAAAAGAATAAAATGATAGCATCTAGCTTTTATCACTGAATGACACTTGCTTCTGAAAAGCTATGTGAAGATAATTTTAAAGGACAGATTAAAAAATTAAAACAAATAGGACAAGAAGGATAATATCACAGTCATACATATTAGTGAGAAAATGGGGAAAAAAGCCCCCAAATTTTCCAAATGAGGAATTGGTTAAATTAATGACATACTATTTTGATGGAGTATTATGTAGCAAATGAAAATCAATACTCATATTGATGAAAAAGATTTACTGACATGAAAAAATATTTGTAATATACGGTTGAATGAGCAATGTAAGTCTAAGTAAAACAGTGCAAACCACTGGAATCTCCTATGCAGAACCTGATAAAGTTACTATTTATTGCCAAGTTTACTATTTCCTTTCTCACCAAATGAATGCCGGAGGTAGAGGGGAGAAGCTGGGATACAACCTCAGCAAACGCCCACCCATAAAATTTGAATTGTCAGTTACTGGGCTACAAAGACAAAGTAAAGTGAGAAACTAAATAGGAAATTCTAAAAATTCCTTTGCATGACTGTTTTCAAAGCTAACAAGCAATCACCAGCCTCATAGCACCAGATACTCCAAACTTAAGCCCTAAACTTATAGCAATGACTAAAAACTGATACCACCAACTTCGAAATTATAGACTACCAAAAATGAGACTATTTCTCATGCTTGTGTGTGAAAGAGAGAGATGTACACATACATGTGCACACAAATGAACATATGCACATCACCTGCACACACAGGGAAGATCAGAAAGATGGAGAGGATTAAGCCCAAATAAAAAGCTTACCTGAAAGAGCCTGGTAAAAATATCAAATTCAAAAACTGAAATGTAATCATTACAAGTTAAATCAATTGTTGATTTCAGAGCCATTGCTTCCAGGCCAGAGCTAATCTGATGAACCTCATGAAGGCACTGTCTGAATACTTTCCATGGTACAATAGTTCTGTGCAAGGGGAAAAAAAACAACAAAAAAAAAGGAGTAATTGAATCAAATGTCATTTAAGACTATCTTCCACCAAAACAGCACAGTTCAATCATAACATTAATTAATTGCATTTTTCCTAAATGATAGAGTTGACCAAAAAAATAAGACAAATAGGTGTTCATAATTTAGAACCCCTGTAATGGGTTTTGCTAAATGCTAAATGGATTATTTCCCATTTGCTAAGAATGTGACAGAAATCTAAATCAGTTTCTCTCTCAAACAATCCTTGGCTATAAAGATATTTCTAAAAATACATTCAAAAGAAAGGAGTAAGTCAAAGTCCTGTGTGTCTGACCTCTTGCATACACAAGACTTTGAATCAAGTTAAATTTCCCCCCTCTTTATTTCCTTAAAACAGCTATAAACTATGGGCTCATATAAGAGTAGGAATTCTTTATTTAAGGTCCAAAAGAGTAATTAAATCCACCATTTTGCGAAAGCTCAGGTGAAAAGTCATGAAGGCATTTAACTCTTACTCCCTTGTGTTCTGCAGATAAAAAAAAAGCACAGAATCTAACCTTTCATATTAATACAAAAGGAAATTTAAAAATTTTTAATCAACCACACTGGTTAGCATATAGAAACTTATTTATTAAAAACTTACTTATTTTTCTTAAATATCATCATGCATCAAAATTTTAATTAAGTAAAAGCATTTACATAGTTTAAAAGTTTAGAAGGGTAAAAAATGGTATCCTGGGAGATCTCCCAGTCTGTCCCCCACCTGACCAGTTTCTGACATTCGCCACCTCCTCCCCACCATGAAAATAAGTAACACTCATTATTCATCCTTTAGTTAATTTTCCTCCTTTTGGGATGTTAGATGCCTGCTCCTGAAGAGGTGGAAGAAATCATTCATGTTTTTAAAATATTAAGCTGCAGTTTTCATAATAGGGCATCATAAGAGCTATATATACACCCTCTTATAAGATGATAAATATTTAACTCTTACATTTTTCTTTACTAGCACCTTTTAAGAAATAAAAGACTCAGGCAGAAAGGCCTACGTTGGCCCTATCCTGTCCAATTCTCCCAGTGAAGGATTATCATAAATGTACAATTATATATTCATTCAATATCATCTGTTGCAGTGGTTGTCAAACTTGAGCATTCATCAGGATGGCTCAAGGGCTCATGAAGACAGAATTGCTGATCCACAACCCATGATATTCTAATTCATTAAGACTGAGGTGGGGCTAAAGAACTTAGAGTTCTAACAAGTTCCCAAGTGATGCTGATGCTGCTGGTCTGGGGACAACACTTGGGAGAGTCACTGATCTCTTAATTGCTAAGGCACAGCACTGTGGATAAATACAATCACGAAAATATGAGATACTATCTGTCCTTGAAGAACATACATACAGGGTACAAATAAGACATGTAATGCTAAAAAAAAAAAAAAAATGGGGGTGGGGTGGGAGTGGATATATAAGGACGTCCTGGAGGAATTCCAGAGAAGGAGTGGTCTGCCGCAAGATGAATAAATGAATGGTGGGACAGGCTTACGATACTATGCTGTACTTATAAAAAAAAAAGTTTAGGTTTGATATACCACTAAAAGAAAGAAAAATATGAGACTGAATACATCAAAAGGCTTTTCTCTATGTATGAAAAAAACAGGAAACCGCAGAGAACCGAAGAGAGCCACCACATCAGACGCCGTTTAGAAGAAACACACGTCAGGCTCTGATTAAGGTTAACAAAATGCTGCTGTTTTAAGAAAACAAGGAAAACTTCTGATAATGTTAGAAGGCTATTGATTTATGGCAAAGTGTAAATATGCACTTGTGTCCAGTTTCATTAGTTACAGTGAAAGTAGTGCTTAAGAAGCACATTTTTTTTCCTAATTAAGGCTCAAATATTCAACATATAAAAGGGACATGAACCATAGTATTCAAATTTTTAAAAATTACACAAGGAACTACTGATTTAAGAATAGTGTATGTTTTACTTTTACATGGAAGTATTAAGAAAAACTTGTCTTGTGTATGAAGTATAAAAGTAAATCAATTGACCAGACACGTTTGGTATCTGTTACTATAAAAAAAATTATCTTCATTGCAAAATTTAAGGAGCTTGCAGATCATAACTCCTTTCAATACCCAATGACTTCCCAGAGCAAATTCTTTAAAAATGTGCAAACTTCTAAAATTGTAGTCTAACATACCACTTTGGGAGCAGCTACATTTCCACAGTACTTGTATAAATGACACTTGCTCACAGTTCACTTGTGATAAACCTAAGGTCCAAGCAAGCTTGATTAAGGGTAGTAACAGGGATTAAGAAGAAAGAGCATTATTTGGTTAACTAACTATATACAAGATTTGTACAACAGGTACCTCTGCTTTGATCACCTGAGCCAAACATCCACCACAGAGAATGGTGGGGAGGAGGAGAATTTCATGAGTGAGGAACAGAAGTAGCAAGCAATGATGTCTTTAAAAAACAACTGTTCTAAGACTGTTGCACTAAGGATCTAACCTTTCCAAAGAGGACTTCAAGTTGCCACCACCTTCTTTCCTAATGTGTATGGGGGGAGGGTGACACGGAGAGGATGGCTTTTCACACCTTTAATTAAACTGTAGCCACAGCACAGAGCAGTGGTGTCTACTGTCTTTCCCTAGAGATGAAGCAAGTCAGAGAAAATATTAATGACAAATTGCTTTACGAACACTTGTAAACTTCATGGTGCTGGCAGAGATCTGGGAATAGAAAAGAGGAAGAAAAAGAGAAGGAACAGAATATAAAAGCTTCAAGCTCTCACCAACCAGAAATACTTTAATTTGTCCTTTTTGCCACTTACAATTATGTCACTTTAATTACAAGCTGAGTTAATTTAAAATCAACTAAAAAGTACAAGTAGCTGTTAATCCACAAAGAATGGAATACAAGGCCAATGGTTAGCCAGACACAGACTTCCAATAGGGGTACAAGATGCCATATATTGATGTCTACTTTACTGACTGATTGACAGTCTACCCTCTCTGTCAATCACCATGTATTTTATATCTCTTACTGGAGTCTATCACAATAACACTATGAGGCAGATAATATATTTATCCTCATGATACAGATGGGAAAACTGAGGCTTAAAAAGAGGTTAAGTAATTTGCCTAGGAAAGACTTTGTATATTCCAGGCATTGTGGTAGGTTCAGAATAGAAATATAAATCAAGTCACAATCAAATTAAGCGGAAAGACTTGTAAATAAATTGTTGTGCCATGTGCAAAAATTATTATAGAAAAAAATGGTTGTGTTTTGGAAACCCCATGAGATGAAGCTCCTTGAAAACAGAAATTGTATCTTATTCTTCTTTGCTGAAGACAAACAAGGTGCACAACTAAAATCTGTAATGAAATTAAACTGTGTTTAGGGAAAGCAAGAAGTGTTACATGGAGAAGGAGCCTAGAAAATTATGCTCCACTCGTTTTCTCCCTACAGAAATCTTTTGAGGATGGAAAGAGTAATAGTCTGTTCATATAAAGTCAGAAGAGATAAGAACTTAATATAAGGCTACATTATTTTATTATCAGATGATAAGTCTTGGTATGTTTATCAAGAAACCAAGTGTAACTATATTTTAAGTCTTGAAAACAGACTAAGTGTACTTTCAGATAAAAACAGATACAGGGAAACAAAACTGAAAAGGTGTCAGTAGGTCAGCAACTGACAAGTCACTCCAATCCTCCAGGCTTTTCTCTTCCTCTGTAAAAGTGGAAGAGTATATTACATATTCTAACTTGAATACCTTGCAGTTTAAAAAAAAAAAACAATAAAAGGAATGGAAGACAAAAAATGTTAGGAGATTGTCACCAAAAAAAGAAAGGCAAAACATTTTCATGATACCACAAGTTCATAAAAGGATACAAGTTTTATTTTTAACTCATATGAAAAAAAAATCCACATAACAAAGGTGTTAATCTCAACAAAGGCTAGGGTATTTGAAAAGTCATACACTTCAGGTGTGAATGAGCATTTATATAGCACTTCTAGAAGGCAATTTGGCATCAAGCTTCAAAAGCCTACTTCTAGGGATTTCACCTAACAAAGTTACATTAAAAATAAATAAATGAATGAATGCACAAATATCCACCCATAAGTCTCTTCAATATAGTGTTGTTCATAATAGTAAAAAATTACAAATATGTTCAGTGGTAATAATAGGACATACTACATTCAAAGACTATAATATTTTAACAGCAATTAACAGTAGTACAAAAGAATATTGTCATAGAAAAGTGTCCATGACACACTTAAATGGAAATACCATTTTTGAAATTATATAACCTTTATGAATGAATGCTAATAACTATCTAGAATGTCTGAAGAGATCAATACATAGTTTAACTGATAACTAAATCATGATGGGACTTTAAGTGATTTTCTTTTTCTGTATAAGCCATTAGAGTATATTAGAAATAAATATACTAATATTTATTAGTATACTAATATATAATATACTAAAATATATTATGTAATCATAGAATCAATTAAAAACAAAAATTATAACACTATTTGCCTCAGACATGGCTGGGTATGCAATATCAGTTAGCAGCAGTGGGGAATGAATGAGGTTTTCAATAAATGCTGCTGGGTCAAATGTATATACATATGGAAGAAACTGAATCTTGATCCCTACCTAATATTATATAAAAATTCATTTTAGATTATCATTTTATCTTTCATATTTAGGTCTAAGATTAAAGGTTTTTTTAAGAAGAAACTAGGTAATATCTTCATTACTTTGGAGCAGGCAAAAAATTTAAATAGGACCCAAATGTTCAAAGGATAAAGGAAGATAAATTAAAACCTGTGTTCATGAAAAGAAAAATGAAAAATGAAAAAGAAAGCACACATTGGGAGAAACATATAATCAACAAAAGATTCACATCTAAATATTAATAATAACTACTCAAAGTTGGGCAAATGATTTTCACATACACAAATAAATCAAAATG